TTCGGAGGGTCAGGAATCAAGGTGCTACTTAGCTGGCTGAAGGGCTCTCATGAGGTAATAGGTGTCAGCTGCGGCTTTGGGCTCATCTGAAGGCCCAACTGAGAGATGATTCACTTCCAAACTGTTGGCAAGATTCAGCTTCTCATGGGTTACTGGGCCTAAGTCCTCAATTCTGAACTGAATACTGGCCAGAGACGTCCCTCAGTTACCACAAGGCCTCTCCATAGGGCAGCTCACAAGATGGCGGCTGGTTGCCCTCAGGGTAAGCATGTGAGAAAGCAAAACAGGGAAGCCCAAAGCAGAAGCAACAGGACTTTGTGTAACCTAGTCTTGGAAGTGACATGCTATTACTTTCGCTGTTTCCATTTATTAGAAGCAAGTCAAAAGGTCCAGCCCACAACCAAAAGGGAAGGGTTTACAGAAATGTGATATCAGGAGACAGAATTCATTAGAGCCATTTTAGAGACTGCCTAACACATACTCCAGATGAAAATTACACCGTCGAGATACCTAAGGTAAAACAGAGGTAAGTTTGTGATTCTTCTGTTTTTAAGGAAAAATGTTTTTTATATTAAGCATAAAGGATTATTCATCCGAAAATCATAGCTGGATGCTTGTTTGATATTTCAAAGCCATTGTGCAAAGTGGACACGTATCCCAAAGGAGTAGATCTGTGATTCTGCCATCCATCTCTCCCTCTCCTCAGAGCATGCTAATTTCATAGTTTGATATTTTTTTCCATCCGAAGTGAAAGTCTTGCCTTCCAGACAACACCAGTGAATGACACCGCCTGCATGTCAGAAATTGCAACTGACATTTCAATTTTGCTTAATTTTTTTTCTTTCTTTGATAGTATTATGGCAAAATTTACATTTGAATAAAAAGCAAATAGTGCATGTCAGAGTAAGCATCAGGGAATGTCAAATTGTTTTTTTCCAATTACAACTCTATTTCAAATAGGGTAATGCAATTAAAGGATAATTACTAGAAGCACAAAGCCAAGGTTACATTCAGAAATGGTTACCCTTTCACTTTAAGTTCTGTCTTGCTAAATAAAATATTCCTGAGGGGCAAGTTACTATTTGAAAATGGAATACACTCATCCAGGACCACCCAAACACTTGGCAGTATTGACCAAAACACCTATTTCTGCAGAAATACAAGTGTTTAAAAGAAATGAAGGGACACTAAAGGTGAACTGCATTTTCCTTGGCTTTATCACTCTGATTAATAATGTGATAAATTAGCTGTAGGATGCAATATTAATTAACAGTATATTAGTTGGATTTTATTGCCAATAACATAACAAGCTCTGAAATAGTAGTCAGACTAAACTGCTGACACGGGCTTTTCTGCAAACTGAGCTGTAGTTTGATTTCTTATTTGTCCAAGTGAAGCATCAGCAACTGAGTAAAACCAATTACCTCAAAGCCCACCAAGCCCTCGGCAGCAACTTAGTGCATCTAAGCTTTGTCCAAATGTTATTACTTTCAAATTAGAGCCTGGTCTGAAATGGGCCATTGAAGAATTTTTGCTGCTGAAAATAATTCAGTATGGCAGTCCATTTGTGGAACACTTTGCAGGACTAGATAGAAAGCAAAGACTCCATCAAACTTTGAGACATCTCGAATCCATGGCTGGTCACTTCTGGAAGGCAAGCCTGGAAGTACAGAAGTCAGATATGAAAAGGGAAGCATTTTCCTGCCTCCCTTAAGTAAAAATATTGTAGAAAAATCTCCAGGCTGTAATGTTTATTTTTGAGATGAAGTCCTGGGATGGAGGTGGGGGACAGTTTAGGAAAAAGGACCCAAGGTCTAGGATGGAAAAGAATAAAGGCGCTCGCCTAATGGAAGATATCTCACCTCTCTATGTAACGAGAAACTATAGTACAAGAGTTTATCAAGTAAAGAGAGGTTGTTGAATGAACACCTGGTCAGAGGGATTAAAACAAGTAGGGCAGGGTGCGTTATAAGTACCTGAAGAAATCCCTGTTTATATTTATTCATTTGTCTCCTCCATAGACCTTCACTTTCTATCCTCTCTCTCTCTCTCTCTCTCTCCCTCTCTCTCTCTCTTTCTCACGCGCGTGCGCACACACACACACACACACACACACACAGAGTCACTTTCTATCCTCTTTTCTTGCTTGATATTTTTCATGAAACTTATTACTATTCAAAATTAAATTTCAGACAGTTTATCCATTCATTTACTTCTCTATTCCTGTATCCCCACCAAACTGTACACTCCATGAGATCAGGAGATGTGCCTGCACTGCAGAATAGTATCTGGGATGTAACAGGCACAAAATTAGTTGAATCAAAGAATGAACCCATTCACTGAACTTGCATTTACCCAATGTCTAAGTGCAAAGGATTCAAAGATGATGGTAATCATAACTACAATTCACTGTAGAAGCCCTCAATGAGCTAAAAGCTTTAAATACAGTATTTTATTGGAATCCTTCAACAACCCTTTGAAGCATGTGTTTCTACTTTCTTGCAAATAAGGACACAGAGGATCTCAGAGACTGACTTAATACCACCAAGCTAGAAAGAGGTAAAACTGTAAATTAAACTGGGTTTGTCTGGCTCCTACTCCAGGCATTGTTATATTCAAAGATTAATAAGAGATAAACATCCTCCCTGAGAACCTCAAAGTCTCATGCTTTGGATATGAAGCATCATTGACGTAGAGGGTCCTCCTAGTCTTCTGTGGTTGGAGAAAGAATCTGGCAGTAAATTCTGGAGGACAGGATGTGGGACACTTGCCATCCTGGGGTCTTTAGGAATGTCCTTGTTCGTGGCAGGATCCAGTATTCCATGCAACTTTGCCTTTGAGTGAGGTCAGATTCTGCTGTAGAGGTTTGCCAGGGCAGCATATATTCTCATATCCTTGGTTCCAGCTCTGTATGTAAGTCCAGCAGCTGTCAGGGATCCTATTTACTTTTAATAAATCTAACAAATGAATGATAAATAAGTGATGAATCTTCTGCCTCAGAAAATCCAGCAATGGGTACATGGGAAGCTGAACTCTTTTCCAGCCTTCACAACCAAATTTTAAACAGCCAACACCAAACTCCAAAGTCAGTTCAGATCCACAAAATTTCTATGTATTTTAGAGGCCACAAAACTAACCCTCTCTCTGGTCTCCTGGAATAAAAGAAAGTTCCTCAGCCTATTCATTCCATGAATTAAAAATTAAAAATTAAAAAAGGTCTCCTCAGTTACAATGCCATTCATATCCTTTGACCAGAAAGAGTTAGAGAAAAACTTCGGGATTGATCTGAGGGACACAGAGCCCAGGTTCCATTAAAGTGTATTAATGCCAAGGTCTGTGCAATTAGTGAAAAGTCAATTCCCATTACTAGTTAACACTATTGAATATCTGCTTTCTTTAATAAAAAGCCATGTCCAGTACAAAGAGAATAAATCAATAGGTTGGCTGCATTTAGATCTATTCTGCCTTCTAAAATGCACAGAGAAACTCCCTGTCAGAGTTCCACTGTCTGTCTGCCAAGCTCAGTCTGTGAACTGGCAGCTGGCCCTGCTTTCTTTGCCTGGAATCTTTCATTAGCACTTTCTCGCCTTAGCTCTCGTTTCTCTCATCAGGAAAATTAAGTTTTACCCCATGACTAAAAATCTTCTCTTTGAGCTTAATCTCAATCTGCCTCTTAATTGGACTGGTTCAGAAAACCAGCTGCAAAGCCACTGTGGCCATACTTCTAAACCTCAGCCTTCACCAAGCACCAGTCCTTCCTTAGGCCAGGAGAGTAGGGTACATAGAATTTCAAACAAGGGGCCAAAGAATCCCAAGAGCCTGAAAGATTTTTCCCCTCCAGAGATACCCTTTGCATTCTTTTACATCTGGTTACCTTCCTTGCTGCCAATCCTGGAGGTAGCTGGGATGTTCCAGATCCTTAATTGTGAAGAGCAAAAGAAGGATACACCTATCCCATTAAGTTTGCAAGCCCTCTGGATTCTCAGCACCATAAGCAGAAAAAGGATGCATTCACCTCCTGTCCATGGAGGCTGCTTTTCTGTAGCTAAGTCCATCTATTCATCTTCTTTGGTGCAGACCACTAAAAGCAGAAAGCTGTTTAGACACTGTCTTCATTATAATGCATGGTTTATTAAAGACTAAAAGGATACTTTGAATCCCACCATAAATGTAAGTGACTCATAAGTTGGAAAATTGTATTTTGGTGAAAGCAAATTACTGTACCTTAAATTATTTTATTTTATTTTCTAAAATGCTTAGTCTTTGATGGGAAAAGCAGAATTTATAGAATTTTGCTTTAGTTCAGGTTTACTATGTAGAATTATTTGATTTTTTTTTTAATCCTTTGGTCCTTATTCTGTACCCTCTTTCCCTTCCCTGAGTGTGTGTTTGGTGGGGTGGGTAGGTTTGGTGGTGATATTGGTTTGGGTCATGGTTTCAGTAGGTGAATGTATTTGAAATTGCATTCTTTTCAGGACTCAGCAAATTGGTGTGGATTGTTCTGGATTTTTCAGTTGATTCAAGTCTATTGTTTGTCCATTCGAGCAGGCAGAAATATCTAATCTAATGAAACAAGCACTACTAGAACCACATCTGTTTATTCCTGTTGCTGGGATCCTTTGTGCCACTTTCCATGGCCTCATTTCTGGTCTAGAGACCTGGTCTGCCATTAGAGAGAATCAAACCAGCCTCTACACTGTGAAACCAACAAATGATCCCCAGTATTGTCGTGCATGTTTCTTGAAGCCACTGCAATTATCCACTGTGGTTGGAGAACTCAGGGAGGGAATCTCCTGCACTGCTTCCCAGAGCAACTGTAGTGTGACAATAACAGGCAAACAGTAGAAACACACACTGTCCTAATACAAGGGTGGAAGTGTTCAGTTGTGAAGAGGCATTTATGTTCACACAGACAGTTTTTCGTCACATTCAAAGTTATAAAGTTGAACAATGCAGGCTCACTAAGTGACAAAGAAAAATTTAAGTCATCAAAAAGGCCAACTCACTGATGAACAGGTGGCTGGGTGAGGAGACCGCAGATCTTTGTCATCCCAAGCAGATGAAGGCTCCCCACTTGGCCAGAGGCAGTGACTGAATTCCCATTTGGGGATCCCACAGAGAAATGGACTGACATTATCAAGCAATTAATCCAAGGTAAAGTATAGTAAAAAAATTAAAGAAAAATGAATAAATGCAGTCTCAAGCAATCTGCCTCTGTGACGCTGACGCAGGAAAATTACCTTTTAAGAGACTGGCAGTTGTCTTTGGCCCTTTAGCAATTCCTTCCACAATAACTCTGGAATGAATAGAAGGAGCGGAATTGAATTAAACAATTTTAAATTTTAGTTTCACAAAATATAAAAAGGTTTAAAACCTTGAAATTCACAGAATCGCCTCAAATGTTGCAAACTTTATGAAGTACCAAGGAGCTAATCCCTCTTGTCTTTAAGACTGGGCTCAGAGATTTTTCCCCCTCTGTAGGAGATCCTGAGAACTGACATTTGCAAAAAAGCCAAGTTGCCAAGCCAGAGCTGGCAGAAGAGTTGCTTCACAAAATGAGAACAGAATGGAATGCACTCTCACCTTTGAGTTCAAGTGCATGTTGAGGTTTTTATCTGAAATGAATTCTGATTAATATCACCTTAGACGAAAGGAGAAAAACATTCAAGCATGTGTTTATACTTGTTGACATGTATAAAAGATACACCTTAAATCTGAGTCATAATACTTAAATAAAAGATGATTAAGAAATGCATACCACTGATATAGTCTCACCAAGAAAGTTAACATTCCAAATTCCCTAAGAGACAGAGAAATTTGTTTCAATAAATTGCCCAATCAATCACTCTTTATAAGACCAAACTATGGCCTTTGCCCACACCACTTTGTTCTTTGAGTTAGTCTGTTTTTGCTCTAATTATTCACTTCCCAATCATATTTAAGAAGAAAAAGAAATGGACATACCTTCCAGGGATGCTTTAAAAGCTTCAGTGTTGGTACAGAGAGAGGACAGCAGGTTGAACTCCATGTTCTGAGGAGAACATTGCATCCATGATGTCACACACACGCGAAAGCATGAAGTACACCCAGGTACTCAGATGGTGATGCAGAGTCCGGCAACCAGCTCTCCTTACTAACCTTGAAGCTTTGCCTTCAGCCAAGTTAGACCTTTCAGTGGAAATAAGATGGAATTGTTTCAAAATAAGATGGACATAATATGGAACTTGGCTGGGTAAGCCTTGTTGACACGGTAAAGCAGGTTTTTACATTTTTCCACTCTCAACTCTATACCCCCTAGATAGACACTCTTACCTTTCCTATTTCACTTTCCATGATTTCTTATCAAACAACTACTTTAAAATGTACAAAGCAATGATATCTAATGGCTTCTCATCTCACTTAGAGTAAAAGCAAAGTCTCCATAAGGCCCTCATCACCAGGCCAACCAGCCAACCACTCACCCAATGTCTTAATTCTTTCTCCAACCTCCTCCAGGCACACTGGCTTCCTTGTGAGTCCCTGAGCATTCTACGCACGTTCTGTTTCAGGGCCTTTGCACTTGCTCTTCCCTCTGTCTGAACTGCCCTTACTGCAGTGCCTACATGGTAAAGTCATGTCGCTTTTTTGATAGAGACTTTCTGATCTAGCCTATCTAAAATTTTAATCTCTCCCACCTCCCAAACAATTTCTATACTCTTTCCTACCATATCATATAATTCACTTTTCCAGTCTCAATTTATTTCCTATCTCTCCACTCAAATGTAAGCTCCATGAGGACAGTATTTTATACGCTGCTGTATCCCTTGTGCCTGGAACAATTCACGGTATATAGTAATGGCCCAACAAATATTAACTGAATGAGTGCATAAATATAATGATTGAGTATCAATGATTCATCAAACCCATCTCTCCTTCATTCACATAAAAGCCTGGAAACATTGCCACCATGATCTTAATTGCAAATAGTTACTAGCTGTTACCAGGCTCCAAGCATTGTATGAAACACGTTACACACGCTATCTTATTTAATCTTCACAACCAACTCCTGAGCTGTGTGTAATCATCCCCAGTTTACAATGAATAAATGATGAGCCAGAGAGATCAAGTAACCTGCCCACACTGACTGACTAGTATGTGGTGGAGCTCAGATGAAAGTTAAAATTTGTCTAACACATTAGGTCTTAACCAGGGATGATTTTGCCCCCAGGGATACATGTGGCAATGTCTGGAGACATTTTTTATTATCATAACTGAGGATTGCTACTGAATTCTAGTGGATAGATAGCAGGGATGCTGCTAAACATTCCTACAATACATAGGACAACCTCCCAAAACAAAGAATTATCCTGCCCAAAAGGTCAATTGTGCTGAGGCTGAGAAACCCTGGTCTAACTCCATAAACTGTTTTTAGTCACATTGCAGTTTTGCTTGATTAGCTGCTAGTGGCACTGCAAACTACATCAAGCCTTTTGTAAAGCAATATGACAATATTTCTTGAGAGTGTTGAATGTTTTCATACCTTTTGACCCTGCAATCCTACTTCTATAAATCTAGCCTAAGGAAATAATCTGAAATGTGGAAAATGCCCTCAAATATTTATCATGACATATTTGTGAGAGTAAAAATTAGAAACCAGTTAATGTCTGGTAATAAAGGAACCATTAAGTAAATTCTGGACTATCCACTTGCTGGAACATTAAACAGCCATTAAAATGATATTTATTAAGAGTTCATAATAACATGAGAAAGTGCTTACATAGAAATGTTAAATTTTAAAAATTGTTTTCAAAAGTATTTAAGTAGTATGACCATTAAACAACGGACAAAAATTATGCATACAAAATAAGTGAAGCAGAAATACATTAAAATATTAATAATGTGGTAGCACTAAGGCTAGTTAATTTCTTTCTCTTATTTTTCAGTACTGTACTTCCAAAACAGTATTATGATAATGTAAAAAATATAGCAATAATGTATTCATTTTTTAATGGGGAAAATATCATTTAGAAGATCAGGGTTTTTTTCTCCTAAAAAAGGAAGTAAAGAGAAAGAGACTGGGCTTGGTGAGTTCAAGGTTACAGTGAGCTGTGATCACACCACGGCACCGCAGCCAGGGCAACAGAGCAATACCCCCTCTCTGAGAAAAAGATGGTAAATACAGCAACTGTATGATGGATTTGCCTTTTACGTGGGTTAAGTAACTATTTATTTCATGCTTATTATTCCTCCCAAGTAACTGTCTTTGTTACAGGAAGTAAGAAACGCTTAGCCATGTAGTAGTAGCTGGAACTCGCTCCGTCTTTGCTAGTTTATACCTACCAAAAATATGTTGCTCACTCATCTTAAGTGTTTTCCTAATATTGAAAAAACGTTTGATTCTATTAAGGCAAAGAATCCTCTCAATTACAGCCAGGACTGCCATCAATGATTTGGGGTTTGGGACCCAGAGGGACACATGAAAGGTGGGTGCCACGGTCAATCTCCTTCACATGGGCATCCAAAACAGGGAGCCACAAGTCTAGGACTAAGAGTGTGAGCTCTGTTCTCCAACAGAACTTGGATCGAATCACAACTGCACACCCACCACCATGTCTTTGAGTGAGTTCTTAACCCCTTTGTGTGCTTGCTGAACTCAAAGTCCATGTTTAAAACCACTGTGGAATGCTGTTAATGCTTGAAAGACTCCTTGCTCTTTGCACACTGTGACCTGGGACCATTCACTTGCAGGAATCTGCCCCCACAACAAGCCTAGTCCTTGGTACTCATCCTTCCCCCACTTTCCAGATGCCTTTATCTCAACAAAACTTGAGGCTTATCCCACAAAAGTTAGGACACTAACTATGAAAGTCTCATCCAAGATGCCCTATCTTTGGACTTGGTTTTAAATTAAACCTGCCTTCACCCTCTGGACTAATAGAGATAAGGTTGATTTTCTGGTCAGCCGTGGACTTCAGCCTAGAATGAGGAAGGAACACAAAAAGCAGCTGCAGAGACAGCATCTTCACTCATTCAGACACTATTTGGGCAATGAAAGAACAGAGAACTCGGTTATTTAATTAACCCTCTGAGTCTCTGGAATGTAAACATTTTCTTTTGTAAAGCTCTGAGACCTCTCTTGTTTCCAACCGGCAGGCCTTTATTTCTGCCTCTCCTTCTGTTTCTCTGCTCTTGACCCTCCTGTAATACATTGTTGGATGACTTGTTTGCACAGAGGGACAGGCTTATTTCCCACCCCCCTCCCAAATTCTTAAGGCGTTAGGAATTTTCTCCCTTATCAATTTTCCACGGACTGCCCTCTATTCCCTAATGGTGCTGGATTGGCACACACCACAGACACCAGCTCTGAAACAAAAGGAAAAGCAAGAAGATAGAGATGCACAGAGCCAGCCTCCCTGTCTATTCCCAGTGTGTCCCATTGACAATGCTGTGTGGAAGGGAAATTGTTCTATCAGCGACTGTGTTAGATTCATGACCCCACCACAACCTTGAATTGGCCTTTAGTTGTCGCTGATGGGAACTGAAGAACAGCGCCTGTCGACATGATTGCTACTCTCCAATGAATCAGAACATACAGGGCGAGGAGCAGCACATTAAAGTAGCAACAGAAATATATCACTGTACTTTTATATAGATGTATTGCTTTTGCCCAGGCATATAAATGATTGGGCCAGCCACTTATTTTTTTTCAAGGACTATAAATTAAAAATAAGCTAAGGGTTTTAAAATTATGTTCTTTTTAAAAAACCAGGGTAGCTATTTTAAGGCAACAGTCAAATATTTAAAGATCATCTTATGTGGATATTTCAGCGACTGTCATTGGGAGGAAAATCAGCCCTTATAGTTTCCTGCACTAGGGTTACTTAACACATGGACACTGATTTATCATGGGTTGTCATTTGCTAATTGATCTTTTTTTTTAAAGTAAATGTTTCCCATGTTTACTTCTCTGCCTGCTTACTGAAGAAAGTATAGTTCACAAATTTAAGTTGTAATTTAAATAGACAGCAAGCATATTTGCCAGCCTAAAACAAGATGCTGGAAGAGTCAAGGTGTTCAGACAAAGCTGAGAGCAGGGATCAATGACTCTTATATTGGGAGGTTATAGGGCCCCATAGAGAATAGGCTGGAGCTGATGGAACCTCTCTCCAGGAGCACACACGCACACTTGCACTTCACAGCAAAATTTTTCCTTTCTCTTCAAGGACTCACAAACTCTCTGAAGCCCCTCCCTGGAGCCCCTGCTTTTGAGATTATCTTGTAAAACTATAAATTTATGACACACTGGGATGCAGTGATCAACTGTGATGTATGTCTCAAGTAACTGCTAACTAATAACAGGTCAAATATAGCTGTTTTGCAAATGATTTACTTTTAGAAGTATACACATCTGAGAAGATTCAAAGGTTTACCAATAACAAATCACTCTCAGTTACCATGGCCAATAAGACGTACGTGATCTAGCCCCTGCCTACCTCCTGATAACACCTCTCACCACTTTCTCCTCAATTCTATGAGCTTTAGTCACATGGCCTCCTTTCTGATTTTCAGCCCACCGAGTTATTTCCTGCCTTGGGGTATTTGCAGTGCTGGGCAATGTTCTAGGCACAGGCTGAATAAAACCACAAGATCTATCTTTTGTGGATCTTATATTCCGTGGAGGGAAACAGGCATTAGGGCATGTGAAGAAATTCCTAAGTTTGATCATTTCAAGTGTTTTGAAGCAATTAGAATGAAGTGATGAAGGTGACTAGAGTGTGACTGAGGGATGGCCAAGCAAGGCCGCTTTGGGGAGATTGTAGCTGAGACGGAGAAGTGAGAAATAGCTGCAGGTCAAAGGGAAATATTTGCAGGAAAATCCAGTAGCAAGTGCAAATACCCTGAGGCCAGAAAGAACTTGGTGGGTTGAAATGTGAGCAAGTAGGTCATGTAGCATCTGATATGCTCTGTTAGGGAGAAACTTAAATTATCCATGCTGCTGCCCAAATGATTGATATGCTATGAGCGGTGATGGTGACTACAAATTAAAGCAATAATTTTGACTTTTTGTTAAAATCTTGATATGCAAACTGAAGTCATTTAAGACCTAAGTCCAGAGATGTTAGGTAGTTTACCCAAGGTCACACAGCTTGTTATTACATTAGTTTAGTGGATGGATTAAAGGGAGGCCC